CAGTACATAGGCATGAGAGGTCACATCAAAGGTTCCCAGGTCAATCTCTGCTTCCGTCTGAGTAGCAGTTGAACCGTTGGCTGTGTGGAACATGATAGGATCACAAGTTCGTTGCTTCAAGTTCATCCTCTCGGCTTTCCTCGCAGAAATCAGATCGTGTCCGCTGCCAGAATCCAGGATGAATCTACGATCTTTGGCTTGCACTGGTAGTGAAATGCACATTATGTTCTTGGACTTCATGAGGGAGTTTCCAATTTCGTGCTCAACAAGCTCTTCAATAAAAGTCAAGTCGTCACGATCATTGTCCAGCTTGATCAACATGTCGAACTTGGGGCCAATAATGATTCTAACTTCATCAACAAAACGATGGAGTCCACATCTGTCCATGATGATAGCTTTGGCCCGTGCTCGGACTGATCCGAGGGTGTTGTCGGACTTGGACTGATCGTCGGTCAAATCATCGACTTTCCAGAAGACATATTGCTTGTTGGGGTCACGGTACATACGTTTGGGTAATCCCTCTTGGTAGTCCTCAATGGCAACCTCGTGCACTTCAGGTTCCAGATCAAATGATATCCTGCGATCATCAGAAGACTTCTTTGCGCTGGCTATCCTCGGTGAGGTATAATCCATAGAATCTTCATTGTCGCTATCAAAGAAGGAATCAATGGTAATGGGAGTTGCTTTCTTCTTTGGTGTCTTCTTGCTGGTTCTCTCTGAGGATGCTGATGGCGATTGATCTGCATGTAGGAATTTACATTTGCTCCCGAACGTGCAGGTACCCTTCTGCCAATTCCAACACACCTTCTTTTTGGGTCCAGCTGAAGATGAGCTTCCTCTACCTTTCCCCCTTGATGAATCTCGACTTCCGCTTCTGCCTTTCTTGCCTTTCATCTTGGCATCATAGACCTTCTGAGAATGACTGTAAAGACATTTGTCACCTTTGTTGCATCCTCCTTTATTGAAGAAGTAGTTACAGAAAATCTTCTTCTTGTCAACTGGTGAAGATGATCTTCCCTTCCCACCTTTGCCTTTCTTGTTGTTCTTGTCGGCATGGGATTTCGGAGAAGGTGTAGGAAGTACTGATGCAGCTTCACTCTTCGCTTTCGCCTTGGGGCGTTTGGGAGGATCACCTGTAGACGATGCAGCTGCTTCATTCTCCTTCTTGGTCTTGACGGGAGCGGCAGGCTTGTCTGCATCTTCTAAGGCAGGTGTCGTCTTGTTAGAGGACAATGACAGTTTCACTGCACGTTCTCGATCCTTCAACAGTCGTTCTTGCTTCCCTCGTGCTATGTATCCCTTGATCATACCAGTTAGGTAAGCATAGGTCTTCTCATGATGCCCTTCATCAAAGGTTTTGTATCGGTTGATATCAAAGGCCATAAGCTTTGAATGTTCAATCTTCCGGAACAATGTGTCACGCAGGGAATTGTTGGAAGGCAGATCATCATGTTTCATATTGTATACGATGTCAAGCCACTTGTTGTAGAATGCCTCAAGTTGATCATCTCCATAGTAGTTGAACATATACAAATGATGGGCATTGTAGAAAACTTCAGTGTGGTCAGGTGACTTGAAGCTAATCAGTATCATTGCGAATAGTTCTCGTCCCTTGATGAAGTCCCCACCTCTCCCATACAATTGGTTCTTCATGGACATGTCATACTTCACTTGCATGGACTTGTCCCCAGCATTGTCAATGACTTTTCTCAAGGCATTGGAGAGCTTGGCATCAATGGATTGGAATCTCACATCAGGAGCTTTGGCCAGCGCCTCCAAGTCAGGTTGATCTGCAAGACACGGAGCAAGCCACGCTTTCCAATCTTCATAGTTTCGATCTCCACTTGCAACGCAAACTTCATGAACAACACTTCCCTTCCAGGATGAAAGTTCAGTGGTCTTAGGCCAGGGTTGGAGGCTGATCTTTTCGGCTTCTCTTAGAGATACGGATGACTTATATCTATCCCTTTCAAGGTTCTCCAACTCCTTGACATTGGTGTTGTACTCGTTCCTGAGCTTCTCGAATGCTTCAGCTTCTGCTCGGTATTCCTGCTCTTCATCGTTGGCACGATCTTCAGCTTGAGAGAAATTGTTCTTGTAGTAATCTTTACGATCTTCCATCTTCTTCAATTCATCTTGAAGATTTCGAACTTCATTGTTCTTCTCTTGCTTCATCTCGTCCAACTCTGCTTTCAGTTTGGCACACTTCTCTTCGCATTCATTCCGAGGCATAGCATTACTGGGGTACCCATGTAATGTAGTCGGTCTATTCTTTGATGAAGAAGAATGAGCTTGGTTTTCCAACTTCAGGGCAGCAATGGTGCTCGACATCTCTTCTACCTCGGCATAACGCTCACTGGCCAATTGATGCATCTCGGTCAAGTGGCTTTCGGGAATGGAATAGTCATTCGCACCTTTGATCACGAGTCTTCTGTCGTTCAACATCTTGATGGACTTACCTGCATCCCTGTGAGCACGCTCTAGAGAGTCCTTTTGGGCTTCAAGTTCAGTATGAAGGCGAGCAATAGCTGTGTCCCTGTCATTGAGTTCATTGTGCAAACTGTCGAACAAGCTACTCGTCACATTCGGATTGTTGCTCATGTGATCGATCTTGTTCAGAGCATCTTGATATTTCTTACCAGTTTCATCGAAGTTTCGCTGGAAGACTTTGAGCAGGTCCTCAGTGTCAATGAGTTCAGCTCTGTTCTGCAAGTACAACTTGTCAACTTCAGCCTTGGATTCTTTCAAGCTGTCACGCTCACGCACGGCTTGCATGTACATCTCGTATAGAGGTCCTCCATGCGGTGATCTGCTTGGTGAAGATCTTCTGGCTTGTTGACAGGAAAGTTTATGATACTGATTCTTCGATTCAGTCAGTTGTTGTTGCATTCGATCTAAAAGACTTTGTTTCATGTGTAGTTCAGAACGTAGTCCCATTATCCTCATGTCCCGCATGCCGCCTGATTCAGCTAGAGATTCTTCAGAAACCCTGTTCTCAGAAATCGCTAGTCGAGATTGTAAGTTCTCATTGTGGATCACCTGCAATCGAAGTTGCGATTCTTCCAAAGCTAAGTGATGTTCACATTCTGCATAACGGTCATGTTCAGATCTTATGTTACTACGGAACTCCTTCATGATCTCGTCCCTCTTCATGTCAGCAGCATCGAGCTCAGTTTCCAGTCGTCTGACATTCATGGCCATGGTGTGCTTCATCGTCTGGTTCTGATTGGCAACCTCGAGCATCTCGATCTGTAAAGCACATGTTTGGTCATTAGCGTAGCCGACTGCTAGAGCTTCTTGCTTGGCATTCATCTCTGCGTTTTCCAGTTCCAGTCTGAGTTGATTGATGTGAGCATTCGCATCAGCGCCCACATGTACCATAATTGCGCTCGCTTGTCCCATTTGTTCATCGAATTCCGAACGTAGTCGTGAATATTTGAATTCCAAATGAGATGCGGCTTCATTCGACATAGTCTGATACCTTTCCAACTCTTCGATCCTGTAGGTCGCACCTTCATCTTCCTGTTGTGCAGCCTGTAACTCGAAGTTCAGCATCTGGAGTTGTTCGGTCATCGACATCATCTCTTGATGAGTGGTGCTTTCCAGGAAATTAAATTGTTGATAGGCATATGCTGTCGTCTCGCTCAATCTTGCCTGAAGTACGGATTCTTCTTCAGTGGCCTTTTCCAGTGATGTCTTGTATTCAGCTAATTCACTCTGATAGGCAGTGAAGATGTCGCTACCACTTGACGGGGCGTTCACTTGCTGATAAGATCCTGTCCCTGATGGAGTAGCGTCCTGAATCGGTGAAGGCGGATTCGACGACGTAGTCTTTGCCTTAGTCCTTGGAGTCATCGGAGGCGACAATTGTCGTGCAGATGATCTTCTCTTTCCAGGTGTGCTGTCCCTATCTTCAATTGCTTGCATTGTCGAAATTTGTCTCCCTCTAGGAGCAACCAGAGGTCGCCTGGGTTGGCTCGTTCTCAGTTCTGAGGCATCGCTTCCACCAGTGTCGATACTCTGTGAAGAATTTGACTGCGTGCCGGCAGCTGGTGCAACGGCATGTCCAGAGAAAGAAAATGCATTATCGCTGCTATCCTGTTCAGTCATCTGTAAGGCCCGCGGCTACCCGCTCGTAGGCTCCGTAGGAGTCCTACGGCTGATAACCTGCGAATCGGGGATTGCCTGTCCGATTATGTCCTGATAGTTTATGTTGTAGTAGTTGATCCAGTGACAACGTTACAAGGGCATCAGCTTCCGCATTGCTATTCTTTTCTCCAGTGCTGCAGTGGGTCTTGAGCCAAAGAGGCCAGTTTTGGAATGCCCCTTTGGTGCTGGATCCTAGAGTGCTTAATTGTGCAAATATACAGTGATCCGTAGCCTACACTCTATTCGCAGTATATATAAGTATATATATATATATATATGTATAAGTATATATGTGTATGTATATATATAGATATGTGTGTATATATAAGTATGTATATATATATATGTATATGTATGCATCTGTATGTGTATATATATAAAGGAACCCATACATATAGTCCGTGTAAATATATATATATATATATATATATGTCAGTATATAATTCCCAAGTATATGACTAGTTGGTTGATAGCTAAACATCTTTTAGTATATAAATTGGGAAATTCAGTTCTATCTATGTATATATATACATTGGGAATTCAGTTCTATCATGATCCAGATATACCTGAGTCATTTCAGATGGTTAAGTTATTACTAATTGCATCCAATTAGCCACTTGCCAACTGGGGATAAGTGATGAGAAGAGGGATTGTAAAGGCCTTAGATTCCAGATCTGTCGAGGCATTGTTAAACCCTCTGGAGACCAGTGGTCGGCTTTGAGAGCCTGCAAAATTCTTCATTTCAAAATCACTGATTTTGTTTGGTTAATCGAATGCTGAAACCCCAACTTTCTTTTTGAAGAAATCAAGACATTTTTTCAGAGAAAAATCCGTGAAATCGGCTGAGACACCCTGGAGGACGTAGTTCGTGGCTACGCACTCTGGCCGCTTCTGCCTTGGGGCTACTGGAGCCCCAGCCCTGGCCATGCCGTGGTTTGACGAGATTTTTCAGCTGGAAAAACTGGAGAAATTGGTTCCAAACAATGGAAAAAAGGAACGTGTGGATTTTTGGTAAGTTGTTTTTTTTCAGGTGAAGATTGTGTAAATTGTAAATGTTGGAAACAATGGTGGTTTTTGGCTACGAAAATCGAGATTCTCTAAGACTCTAGGAAAAAAATTGACAAATGTTGAAAGAAGATGAAAAAAGATGAACATCTGAAGGTTTTACTCGAGAATGTTGATCCACCAAGATTTGGATGCCGTATCCGAGTTCTTGCTCATGAAATGTGAAAAATCGCTGTGGGGGAAATAGATTACGATGTTTTGGTGGTGAAATGCTTCATATTATGACCAATCCATCTATGGTGGTGGCCGAAACCATCGATGTTTGCTGCTGATATCCCAATTGCTAATCACCAGAAATTGGTGAGGGAGCCATCCACATGGATGAGTGTTCAATGACCTTCATGTATAGCTGGTGGTCAATGTCTACCCTGGATTGAAAAAAAAACTCTGATCAAGCAGGGAGGTTTCCTCCAGCAAGTGATACCATCCCCCGACTAAAGGCTTGAGAATTCCCCCGTTCCTTTTTTCTTGGCTATTCGGCTATTTTCAAGGTCAAAGTGTTAGTTCGGAGGATGGTAAATGCTGCTAGAAGCTCCTGCTATTGCAGTACCGGTAGTTTCACATGGCGAAGCCATGACCCATGAAAGTAGATGATTGACCTGTTCAACATGGTGATTCTCCATTCGTAAACTCTTAAATTACCAGATCGGGTAACCAACAAGAATGGGGAATTGAACATTATTTCACTGAGACAGGGGAAAATCGGAACATCTGACGATTTTGGCCAAAAACTCCCAGCATTTTCCATACGCCTGAGGCGAGAAGCCAGCTCCTCCATGGCCCAGAGGGCTCCCCAGTGGGCCTCAAAAAAACGATGGGGATTGTAGCAACCAATGTGGCAGACAGGCGCTGCGCAGACAGGCAGTGGAAAAATGAACCAAGAGAAGGTGTGTGTGTGTGTGCAAGAAGGGTTAAGAATGGATGACACTCAAAAGGATGTGTGTCGGTCATGTCCACAAAATAAAATTGCCGAACCTTTGCGTAGAACATGGAGTTGGGAACTACCACATTCGCCCATAGCCCATAGCCCAACTACTCCGTCAACAAACGCATTGTGTAAAGCCGACTGAAAGTGTGAATGATCTGGAGACATCCGGGGCAA